GAGAGAGAGAGAGAGAGAGAGAGAGAGAGAGAGAGAGAGAGAGAGAGAGAGAGAGAGAGAGAGAGAGAGAGAGATATTTGTTTTTTGAGATTTGTTTTTTGAAACACACTCAACTCGTTGGTTTCAACTCTGGAGCTATCCATCTGAGTTGGCATACAGAAGAAACTGCAGTCAAGCAGTTTGTATCAAATTTGGATCTACTCATCTGGGTGAAAAAGGGATGGTTATGGTGACAATTTGCAACACACACACACACACACACACACACACACACACATACACACACACACACACACACATGACTGTGTCAGATCAGTTTCTCAGACTTACTGCAATTCTTGTCAGGGGTTTGGAGCGGCAGTATGCCAGGATTGCAAGGTTGGTGTGAGTAAAGTACACCATGTTTCTTTCTCAGGTGTCTCGCTAACTCTGGGCGATGTGGTCAGTCCTTATCCATCAGTCAAATGCATCCTGGGCAGACTGTCAGGCACAGTCAGGCACAGTCCTGTTTTTTTTTAGTGTATAGCGAATATGACAACACACATGTGCAAGCAGAGATGGTCTTGTGCCCTGCAGAGCAGAGCCCACTGTCTGTTGTTCTCAACACACCGCTTCACAGCCAAGCATGATCACACACTTACCCGGGAGAAGCATTGTTTTGGAGCCCATTCACAGGATAAATGAGACGCAGGTTCCTCGAAAAGTCCTTCCTGAACTCAGCCCCAGTCGAGTGAAAGACGTAGAACCAAAACTTTCCATCGCATAACATCTTTAGCTTAGCAGTTGTCCCATTGTTGAAAGTCCTGTCGATGGTCCCTCGCTTTCTTTTCCCTGTCGCCTGGGCATTGTGATTCTCTGGCTGTCCAGTAGTGACGATCCCAATTTCAGTTCCCCCCTTAGTTCCCAGAGCAAAAAGATCACCATTTGTGTAGTATAATTGGCTACACAAACGAAGCACCTTTTCATTCTGATCCTCACACAGTCTTCGCCCAAAATTTTCTGTCAGTCTGTCAAAAACTTGATAATCACTCTGACGCTGAGCAGCTTCTTTGGCTTTATCATTAAAAAATGTTACGGCACGGCACGAATGCTCTCTTGCAACCATGGCATCACGGGCAGAAATCATCACATCTAAGTTCGACAAGAGGCTTTTTAGCGAGTCACAGGCTTGCCGGAGCTCAAGACGGAGTTGAGGATCGGAACGTCGGACCATGGTGCAAAAGCGATTCCAGAATGTTTGATTTCTCCCACCAACAGCAAGATTACGAGCACGTTCCAGTTCTCGCCGTAATGAATCAGATTCTTCTCTCACGAGGCATCTGGGTATGGGTACCGCCGGGAACTTCGGATTGTCTACACGTTCAACAAATGTTGCAATATCCCTTACAGTATCGAGCAACTGCTGTTTCAATAGTTGGATCTCCGCCGGCCCTTCAGCCCTCTCCTTGAAGAGATCAAAGATTGACTTCAGGATAGCTCTAACATCAGTCCATCGCTCTAGTTCCTCCATCACCTTCTCCATCTCCTTCTGGGCTTCCATTGGCAGGGCAGTCTTTTATCAACAGAAAACTTTTTCTTCACTCACTTTTGTGGGGGGTCTTTCAAATCCCTGTCATTCACCAAAAGCACACCGGCGTAACCACCCACCCCGCCAACTCCCCTGTAATAACAAAGGTTAGGTGCCCCCGCAATTTATTGAGACTAGGTAAAAAACAAAAAAATGCCACTCCTATGCCAAATCATCTCTCTCTCTCTCTCTCTCTCTCTCTCTCTCTCTCTCTCTCTCTCTCTCTCTCTCTCTCTCTCTCTCTCTCTC